GGGGTCCGCGAATGTATTTTAGTGTTCCGCGAAGCCCTACCTCATCAATTAAGCCTGGCAATAAAAGTTCATGTTGAAAAACAGCGCGAATGACACACGGACAAAAAGCAGAGAACACACAGGACGAGGCGCTCTCCTGTGTGTTCCCTCCTTCTTGTCGGTGTGTCATTCGCGCTTTTTTTCAGAATAAATTCATACTAACTCGCCCAACTTTCTATTCCAATAAAAGTTTTTCTTTTTTTTTTTCAGATGGAGAAGAAATCTTTCAGTTTTCGGGCGAGTTTTCTGGTGTTTATGTGAACATCTCTGAAGTAGATCTCTCTTACTCACATACTCACAAGAAAACTCTCCCGAAAACTGAAACATTTCATTTCGACCTGAAAAAAGACAACGTTTATTGCCGGGATTGACTGATAAGGCAGGGCATCACGGATCCCTAGAACGCTTTCGCGGACCTCAAAGGGTCCGCGGGCCCACTTTTCAGAACCACTGGTGTATATCAATTAGAGAACTCTGCTTAACGTTATCCCTTAGTTATATATATTAAATAAATATTTATTATATTTAACCTATAATTTACCCCTTCCTTCACCACGAACGGAATCCTTCATCATCTTCCCCGATCCACAAGGGGTCCGCGAAACATCAATGGTTGATGTTTCGCGCATCAATGGCGGATGTTTCGCAGAGCAGCCTGGGTCACTGGTCTAGATAATGTTTAAAGTAAATATTTTGATGCATTTGACGCCCTTACGGTTTTACTGTCTACAGTTTTGGCTTTGCTTTACTTAATTTGAGTCGCAGATCTAAGTTCGTCGAATATTCTTTTTCTGCCTCCGGTTTTTATACGTCGCCATTTTACTATACACTGCATCTATATGGAACAAAAAAATGCTAAGCAGGCCACGGGCATAAAAAATAAGGTTGTAGTGAATTATTTATGTCCTTGCAGAATATAACGAATGCGGTGCTTGTCTTCTTTTGCGCAAGTCGTAATCAGTGAGCTCCAGATAAGCGAAAATGCGTCAATAAAATTGCGATTGCCATTATTGATCAGTTAATGTCCTATCCAGAAATCTGTCGTAGCTTCAACATCCATATAATATATGCGCTTCCTATGCTAATAAGCCGATGGTTTTAGTAGGTATCTGCGTGATGGATAAAACAAAGGTTACGTAAGGGTAAACAATTGTAATATATGTTTCATTATGTGCTTCCAGGGACCTGTTCATAATAAATCAGGCACTCCTCACCAGAGAATGCATCGATACTTCGATCATTCACTCGAATAAGAGGCGCACTCTAGAGAAGGAAGGATCGCACAACCTGTTGTCCTTAAAGCACGTGGAACTGCAAACATTACATTATACTAATAAAGTCAGACAAACTGCTAAACTCCATTTAAAAAAGAATTGATAGACCAGGGAGTTTGTTAGACCACTTCTTTCATATACTTTGACCTTTCCAGGTTTTTCCTGAAGGTTTCAATTAACTTTCTTGATGGTTTCCGGAAGTCGACAACCTCGATATGTATTCAAATTGGCGCGGCTTTTGTTAAGAGTGTACTGCTTTGACAATGGCATAGTCGGTCTCGAAAATTACCAAGCCTTCAGTTTCATAATCCCGCGTGCATGCGGAATTGGCAACACACGCGGCCGCCGCGCTGAGGGGCGGGTTCCGGACTCCGCTTCGTACGATTCCTTATTTAATTAATTTCTTCTCTTCTAAAAACTTCCAGCTCATTCTCGGTGATCAAAAAGTGTTCTTGTTGGGAATATTTCTGAATGTTGCACGAGTTTTTAAGCAGCAGTAACGCGCTCCTTCGGAAAAGGCTGTGTTCCGTCACCGACGCAGGATGCTCAATATTTTCTGTTTAGTTTGTAGGCACCATGTCAGCTCATTTAATATTTATATTCAGTTTTAAATTTGTCTACCATTTTCCGTTAGTGACAATAACGTATCATACCATAGGCATGCTAAGGGTTGAAACGAAGTGGCTCCAAGCGACATTAAAAAAAACACAAAAAAAAACACGTGTCTATCTATTCCAGAGCTTGAGGAACATGGCGCTCCCGCATACCGCCCCAATTTGAAAGACGCTAGTGCACCACGTATTGCCTCACCCTGTACCACCGCGAAATCCTCCGGAGGTAATGTACTACACACGGTAACGCGGAAGCCCTCGTTCAAATATCAAACCGATTTTGGGCACAGCCCCTCACACTTGAATTTCAAGTTCAAGTTCAAGTTTTATTCACCTCAAAGACGTTCGTTCAACGTATTACATGAGGAGGGGCGGGGGTAGAAAAATACAAACAAATGCAATGATACAATGGCAATCAAAGAACTAACTAAGGTTAAAAATTAACAACAAACACGAACTAAAAACGAACTATACAGAATTCCGAACAAAGTTTACACAAAGTTTACACAAACCGGGCGCAACAGGACTGGGGACACTGTGCGCAATTGATAGTAAACACAAGCAGACATGGCGCTGAAAACATATCATAGTACCAAAGCCGAGATTTTTCGCGGAATATTATTTCGTTATGTTCAGTGACTATGTCGTTTAGGAGAGAATTCCAAATTTTAATGGACATTGTAAGAGGAGAGTATTTGGAATGATCATGACACAAAGAAATGTATGAGCCAGGCTTACAATGAGTGAGCATTAATGATGGAATTTTGTAATAAAACTTGTGAAAACGAGTAAGGCGAGCGGCTGTCCGACGTGATTCAATAGAAGTTAAATTAGAAAGAACCTTTAGGTGGGAGACACTGGTTTTCGTACTGTAGTTTCGTAGAAACTACAGTACGACAACGTCAATGAGGTCGCCAGCAGGCCCACGGCGGCTGCTGGCGACCTCATCGACCCCAAGTTCTCATAACTTTTCAACGCCAAAACAATTGAACCTTCACTGGCGTATTAGGTAGGATAGGCGGCTCCTGAGAAAATAAAGGAAATCTAACGGCCCGGGGAAGCTCGCATTCATCGTTATGGAAAACAACAACCATCTATCCACACGTAAGACTCCGCGCGATGTCACGTGCACTTTACGTCACATTGCTTTGTACAGGGTGTCCCCCCTCCCCCGCCCAGAAAAGAAAAAAAAAGTCTTTCTATCACCGAAAAAAAGAAAAAAACAACACTCTCCATCGTCCAACTCTTTTTGCCCGCCAAGATGTAGCGCTACCGGTTCGAACCAGATGCAAAGGTTTCACAACTAACCGTTATCTTAACTGAAATTTCACAGTGACTTTAAGAAATGTGTAATGGTATAACAGGGCTCGTTTGTTCTCGTGTTCGGCAACTGGAGAAAGTCAGCTCCATGCATTTGAGAGCTCGGTTGGCCGCAATTTTCTCAGGCAAATTTATTAGAAAATCGCTTATAGTTTATGAATACGATGCTTGCTAGTTCTGGAACTTTGGCATCTATTTCGAACCGCAAGCGCTACATATGGACGGAGAATACGCGTTTGGTGATGCCTAATTCTTTTTTTTTTTTTCGTTGGAAAAAGCTTTGTAAGTTTTCTTGCACAGACTCTACGGTGCGCAACTTTGATGTCATGAACTGGCCATCACATGTTCTTTTTCTTTTGTTTTTCTCTGAGAATCTAAAGGCTGACATCATATAACAACGACTTGTATGGCGGAAATTCCTCATTTGGAGCACAAACCTACGCGATAAAGTTTTATGTTCGTCAGTGAAATGTACGAGTCGGATGCAGATGGGGTCGATATGTCGGCCAGTAATTAATGTCCAAGAAAACGAGGGTGCTGCTGAGTACAATGAGCTTGGAAACGAAATCGCAAAGAGTACATTATTGTCTGCACTAAAAATACACATGGACTGGAAGGAATACAAAAGTTTTCGGGCGTAGGGCGTCCATCCAAAACTTTTTGAATACCTTCCTATCCACGTACTTTCTTTTTAGTCTAGCACAATTATATATGTTTTGCGATTGCGTGTTTAAATAACTAATGTTTTCATTTTCTTAAGCATTCAGAGTGAATGGCACTCGTATTTGTACCTTCATTGGTTTAAGTAAGGTGCCCTGAAAATTAACACTTTAATGTATTCGTGAAAGTGTGTCAAAAAGTTGAAATGCCGCACAGCCTATATAAACCTATATTATAAAAAAATATAGACCCTAATGGCAGAAAACGTATGATTCCGGAAGACGTTCCTCTCAAAGGAGATGTAATTCTTGCTATAGTTTAATGGTTAGTGTCTTGAAGGCTCATATGCACTGCATTATATTTACTCAAGTGTCAGAAAATTGCACGTTAAGGGTAGACTTTTGGAGCACCACTTAATGAAATGTCGTGTCTGTCAGAAATGTACTCTAAGAAAATCCCGAAATCATTAACTGGTCCTGCTTTACAATAAGAATGAAATCCCAATCACTCTTTTAACTTTTTGAATAGGACAGGTATGTAAACAAATAAACATTCAAGGAAAAGCAACTTTCCGATTACATAGGTCGCGAGGCTAATTTTAAGTTGGAAGCGGTTCCGAAACACGCTTTTATTACGATACATCGTCCCGCCGGAACGTCTTCTAAATGAAATAGGTCTTGCAAAGTAAAATATTGTGCCGTTCCTTTTTCTTTTTTTTTATTTGCCACGTCGGTAGTTTTTAGGCAGAGCGCCTGCCTACAAACCCGAGGAGGAAGGTTCAAATGCCAGTCGATATGCTCGTAATTTGACGAAGGCTTGTTGCGGGTATGACCCTGACTTCGTTTGCACGTAAAATGATGCCCCGGTCTTTTAAATACGCCCTGTTCTCAGCTGGGGCGTGCCAAATGCCCTTCGTTGGTTTGTTACGTTAAACGGCAAAATTTGATTACTTTCATTTTTCTTTTTTGAAGAGAAGTAGAAAAGTATTTTTTTGTTTTTCTGGCATACTTGTTTTATATAAGTGCTTGAAAAATGGTTTGTTCAGCGTCTTTCTAAGCACAGACACACTCTTAACGGGGGGCCAGTTCTTTTTCAGTTCCCCCAGTCTGGACAGCCGAGCCATCCAGCAGCCGTGTAGTTCTTGGAGACCGCGTGTCCCTCGACTGCAGCGCCGAGGGCTCGCCGACACCCCGGATCGAATGGAAGAAAGCCCGAGGTAAGATAAGTGACACTCTAGTTGTCTAAATTTTGTCAAACAACGGCTTGTCTGGGAAATAGGAGTGTCGTCTTTTTTTGTTTCCACATAAATAAACGACACGTCGCTTAACGACCACTTTCCGTCCAGATATATCGCTGGTGATCCTGACTAGAGTATATTTATATGCTTCGCTTGCGGAGCAGAGTATTGCAATGGTGCTCCCAGGGCTGCCCTCCAGAATCCAATGCTGCACTGCGGGAAGCGATCGACGCTTCTGCAGGAGCCCCGAAGGCACGGACGGCGTGGATGTCAGGCGGCGTTCGGCGGCGTGCGGAGCAGAGAAGATATAGTGTGGCGAATCGCCGTGCGTGCTCCGGCTTACCGTCATCTATTGCCTGTTTTTTTTTTTCTATGCCCTCGGTATAACATTGTACCGTCGACCCTTCGCAAGCCGTCGCTGGTCGTTGTTGTCTGCTCCGAGGAGTCCGCATGTGCCGATCGCGTATCCCAGGCAGCACCGAGTTCTGGGCCAAAACGTGGCTTGCGTCTGGCAGTTTAGGGCATTAAAAAGCCCGAAGAAGCCAAAGGAGTGCCAAACCTGACCTCCCTTGGCAACAGTCTGGGTACCTTGGCCCTAATTCGCCAAACAAGTGCCAAACTTAGGCTTCGCTGCCGGGTAGTTCGGTTATTATCTGGCATCTTCGGGCCTAAATCGCCTAACAAATGCCAGAGTTAGGCTTACTGCCCGTTAGTTCGGCAGATCTTTGGCATTTTTGGGCCAAAATCGCCAAACTAATGCCAAAGTTAAGCTTCACTTTTTGATAGTTGGGCTATCACCTGGAACATTCGGGCCAAAATCGCCACAGATGTGCCAGAGTTAGGCTTACTACCTTGTAGTTCGGCAGAGCTTTGGCATTTTTGGGTCAAAATCGCCGAACTAATGCCAAAGTTAGGCTTCACTTTTTGACAGTTCGGCTGTCACCAGGCACATTCGGGCCAAAATCGCCACAGATGTGCCAGAGTTAGGCTTACTACCTTGTAGTTCGGCAGAGCTTTGGCATTTTCGGGCCAAAAAGAACTAATGCCAAAGTTAGGCTTCACTTTTTGACAGTTCGGCTGTCACCTAGCACATTCGGGCCAAAATCGCCACAAATGTGCCAGAGTTAGGCTTACTACCTTGTAGTTCGGTTGAGATCTGGCATCTTTGGGCCCAAGTCGCCAAGCGAATGCCCAAGTTATGCTTCGCTTCCCGATAGTTTGGCTGTGATCTGGCAGCGACGGGCCAAAGGTGCCAAACAAGTGCCAGAACTATGCTTACTGCCTTGGAGTTCAGCTGATGAGGTATTTGATGTACGCGGGTGGTCTTCATCTTAATTAAATAGAAATCAAGTTTTATTCGGCTGGCAACTTTATCTTATTTTGGTTGTCTCTTGATTTCTGCAGTCCAAAGGTTGGCTGAATGTTTTGACGCGGCTGGAGCAGGCTTTGCAAACGCAAATTGTGCCAGATGTTTTACTCGCGCGTAGGTACACAAGCCAATATCGGGACGCGCCGTGAGACTGGTTCGACATTATGGCGCGTTCACACCGGCGATGCGATCTAGTCGCGCCATAACTTTCATCGCAAAAGCGACCATCGCGGGCAAAAAGTGACGGATTTTGAGCAGTCGCTTGCTGACCCGTCGTTTTGCGATGCACTCTAGTCGCGGAGAGGCCGAGCCAACCAACGGCGTTCGGAGCGAGAGTTTTTGAGACGCGACTCGCCAACGAAGGCATTGGACTCGCTCATCGCGCACGCCAAATTGACCAACTATTACTTTTTTTTTCTTTTTTTTTTTTTTTTTGCGATGCGATTTAGTTGGATTTCGCGACTGCTATCCCCGTTGTGAATCCGCCTTTACAGAAAGTGCTGCCATTGAGCTAACACTGCGCAAGACGGATGTGCGCACGTCTCAACAAGATATATCATTATTAAGGGGTGTCCAAACAGGGCACTACAAAACGCACGACTCCTACAAATCGTGAAAATTGAAGCGGACGCGCCCGCTTCAAGCCCGCTTCAATTTTCACGATTTGTCGGAGTCGTGTCCTGTTTGGACACCCCTTTAGGCGGCGCATTGCAAAAGCGAGCGTTGCTCTGTGCGTGTCTTGCATTGTGATTGAGCACTGTCAAATCCTAGCGATAACAAAGTGCGGAAACGACCGTGGCTCTATGGCGCGGTTCCCGCATCACACTTGGGGGATGAAAATGAAATCCCGGAAATTGTACTATTTTAGCGTGTTGATACTTTTTAAACATTAAAAAGTGGAGACACAAAAGGGACGATAAAGACAGGACAATCTTTGAAGTTTAAAGGCCGCTGTACAAACGGGACGTTCTGCAGAGAAGAACCTTCTCTCCCGAAGCTGGGGGACGGGGAGGGAAAGGTCAAGCGTTGGATTCAAAGAGGTTTAGAGAATGGGATTAGCCTCGGGGCGAGCCATCCTCTCGAGAGGGAGTGGGGACGGAACAAAGCTGCCGTGGGGGTTCCGGCTAAAAGGTGGAAGAAAGTTGAGCTAGTCAAACGGCGACCTCGGATCCGAGGACGGGCACGCCAGAGAATCTGAAAATAGCTGCTTGATTAGCCGGACGACCCAGTGCGGTCTACTGGTTCTAGAAGGTGACTCGGATGAAAAAAACTCGTTTTGGTCGAAAACTCTAAAAGCATTCTGGACGTGAACTCTTGCCACAAATAAAAATAACACATGCATGAAAAACTGCGAAGGCACCTAAGATTTCGCCTCTGATGTGGGAATGCGTGAGCATTACAGGCAGAGTTATGTTGGCGCAACTTGCAATAAAGAAAGAAAAAAAAAAGTTATGTTGGCGCAACTTGCAATAAAGAAAGAAAAAAAAGAGTTATGTTGGCGCAACGGATAGCGCGCTGGTTTCACGATCAAGAGGGCCTAGCTTCGAAACAGGGCTGGTTTTTTTTTCTCGTGTTCCTTTTTTTATTTCGTTTATTTTTTTTTTATTTTTTTTGTTTGGTCACGTGACAAGAAAAATCACATGAACAGAATTTTTCTCGGCCAAGTCACCAGAGATTTTTTTTTTCTACTTTCTCCTTTTCTTCAGTCTTTCTTTCCTTTTTTTTTTTCTTTTTTTTTCGGTTTACGTTTTCTATCGCAAAACTCTTTGCACCTATTTCGCGTTACATTGGCGTTAGCCAGATCACTTTATTTATGGCAGGGAATTCTGCCGTACGTATCTTATGTTCCTATTACCAACCCTGGATTTCGTCCGGCAACCAGTTTGGGAATGACGACGCCAAATTTGTGTTATAATTTCTTTGAGGTTTAAGGCCTCGTTATCCGTCGGTCTCTAAGATTGGCTCTTCAAGTATATTTTGGGAAAGAGTTGACGACAGGTATTTTTAAGGAGCACGTGTGTCGACCACATTGCTGAAGCGCCTCTAGTGTGATTTTGGCCGTAAATAACTGGAGGCCCCGGGCAAACCAACCCAATGGAGAAAAGTAGCTACCTTTCTGGTTTCATAGAGAGCTATGAAAGTCAGAAGGGACGAATCCCAGCCGAGTCAAACTACCGGCTTGCAAACGCAATCGTGTTGATAATAGCGAGAAGGAGTTTGTATGACACTCTGTGGCGGTGCGCAGAGGAGGCTATGACAGAGGGTAAAGGCACGGAGGTAATATATACTTTTGCCCAGTCACCTCGCGAACGGTTGGGTATTGGCTGCAGAGATCCATTTCGGGTTGTTTTATTACGGGATTATATCTTGGTTTCTTTGTTCCTAGTTTCACAGACAGAACGAAATCGCTTTTCTCGTGTGGTGTCACGGCGGGAAGACAGAAATCAATCAAGAGTACCGAAATTCGACGCTTGTGCTCGTTCTATAGCGCTTCTAAAAACCGTGCGATCACGGCTGTGTATCGTCAACATTGCATAAACTGCCGTTACTTGTACTCGTATTGCATCGTGAGGGAACGACTATGACTGGGTAAACAGAAATAGGGAGAATGGGTGCGTGTGATTTGTTGAAGTTCGAATCAACAAATCGAGCTTCAACGAATGCGATAGTATTGCATTTACTCAACCAGCTATATGAGTTTTCAGATCCTTCCAAGTATGCGATTCGTGTTCTGCCAGTGGTACCTCAGTTAAATTAAAAAAAAACAAATCCACGTTAAAAAAATAAAAATTACGGTGACTCGATGATTCGGCGCGAGAGCAACTCTCGCGCCGAATCATGTTTCACGTAAGCGTAATCTTGGGTTCGATGCACGACGAGGGGTCTTCAATCATAAAAATATTTTGATTACGATTATTTGCTGCGCTAAAAAATTGAAAGCCAAGCAGTGAAGACGATGGTGTTCTTATAAATATTATATACATTTTATTTTACACTGTTTGAATACGCTGCCGTCGTTATGTCCTTGAATTATTGGCTAGCTTGTGGCGGACAGGGAAGTCTTGCAGGACCATTATGATAGGACCTACACTAAACCTGCCGCGCTTCGAAAAATGTTAGTTCAATGCATACCAGCTTGTTCAAGGCGGACGAAGCGTTACGCATCCGGCAAAGCGCATTAAATTGCTGCCCGCGACGTTTTTTTATTTTTTATTTATTTTTTATTTTTTTATTTTTTGTGCAGCGAGATAATTTTTAGTCAAGCAGCACGCCCCCTCTACGGCGGGTTATGCCGGATTAACGGAGGCGTCTCCTAATCCATTCTCCGTGTTGGTCCCTCGGGGGAGGGCGGTGAAGGGAGGAAAGGAGGGCAGGAGAGGAGGAAACGCAAAAAAAAAGTGGAAAGAGCGAACTTTATTTTCGGCTTCAACCTGAAAACCCGCCCGCTCCATGGGAGTACCGGAAAGAGAAATCTTGGCGGAAGGAGAGGAAGCGAAGGAAGTGTACGCGATCCCCCTGTCCCGCGGGACCAGGTACATCGGGCAAACGGGGCGATGCCTCAACCACCGACTCCGAGAACATCAAATGGACGCCGAAAGAGCTGCTTCGG